GGTGTCGTACGGGAACAGCCTTCTTGCAAAATACTGAAGTACCTGGAACAGACTTATAGATGAACAACGAGAAAACTAAAACTATTTGCTTACATTCAATTGGTCAAATTCTCCACTCGATTTGAAACCATTACACCACCACCAACACTAACAGATCCACTCATTATGTTAGTACCGGAATTACCTACCGCACCACTGTTAGAAGTTATTAATCCAGCGTTGCCTTCACTCTCACTCTTCCACGAAGATACCGGAATATGTGGTGCTGGCAAACAATTACGTAGGGTTTGTACAATTTGAATTGTGTCTAAAAGTGCTAGAAAGTTGGAGTAATGCATGAATATAAATAATTTCGTAGTAAATTATTAACAGAAGCCTCACTTTTTTGTAAGCTTTCGCTCTGCTTGCCATACGGTTTACACATTGATGGGCGTATATAAGTCTTCATGCGTGCCATGTTCCGCATCAGTTCTGCAAAAATGCGTACTATTTTGTCTTGGCCTACTGGTAAAGGTTCACGATTATTATCTGGCACAGTCCAGGCGCCATTATGCAAGGCAAGCAAGTCTTTATTAGATTCAATCGATTCCAAATTGGAACTGCAAAGATTATCATTTTTACATATACGGTTAATATCCGTTCTTTTGAATCTATCGACTTTCAAAATAAATAATAAGAGTAGCACAAATGATTAATCCACAAAGAATTGTTATTTTTAGATTCGAAAATCCGGTTAATATCCGTTCATTTTGTTATCGAGATATCCGTTAATTTTATGATTTTTTCCTGAGAAATTTTAATGACCGGATATTCACAAAACCCGAATATGTCAAGAGTCATAGTTTCGAGTAAAATAATAGCAGTAAAATTCAAAATGATGCTGCTTGTAACTTATGTTTATTTATTTTATTAATTTCCATTTAAAATATGGGTCGATCTTTATCAGAAACCGCATAAATACAAGTAATTTTTAAGCAAAAAATAAAACCGACTTCAATTTAAAATTATCGCTAATTTCTTCATGATCTATTGGTCGGATTTAAACCAAATAAGGATGCGACCACTTGTGAGGTAGCACGTTTCTTTTAAAAAAAGAATTTTAGAAATCGGTTAACGTGGTTCAGGTGATGCGGTAACATACATCAAAAAATATTCCGATGAACTGCATACCTTTTTTCCTTTTTGTAAAGTCGGTTAAAAGTTACAAAGCTTGCACAAAGTTCACATAAATTAAACTTAAAAAAATGTTTATCAAAATTTCGATTCTTAAATTAAAGGGAATCAACTATTCGAATAGTAACATTCATAATCGAATTATTCGAATAATTTAAAAAGCCCTAGATCACACCCGTCACTATGGAATTACCCTGCTATTATTTTACTCGCAGCTATATGTCCGTAAGTATACAATGAATATGTACATATGTATGTATATAACAAAAAAATTTAAGGAATTACATACCGTCACTGGAAATGCAAAATAACGTATCATCATCGTCACTGAACTGCAAAAAGTCGTAACTTATAAAAAATTCAAAATTCACATTTTGATTGTTATATAAAGATAGATTTCATCAAATTACAATTCCCCATATCGTTTTATGAAAAAAAAGTGACGACTTTTTCCATTTCAGTGACGATGATGATACGTGATTTTGCATTTCAGGTGACGATATGTTGACCGCATATCGACGGCTGAGTGGAAGATCGATCCACCTCGGCAGCCAGTTCGAAAACGCCGTATCTCAGAAAATTTTTCAAGAACGCCCTACTACGGAATTTTGTTGAAGAACGCCGTACCGTTGAATTTTCTTGAGGACCGCCTTATTTCAGAATTCGGTTCAAAAACGCCCTATCTCAACATAGTTTCAGTTGAGATAGGTCGTTTTTGAAATAAATTCTGAGATAGGGCGTTTTTCAATCAAATTCTGAAATTCACACAAATTTTGAAGTAGAGAATTCTTGAAAAGTTTTCTGGGGTGGGGCGTTTTCGAACCTGCTGCCGAGAGAGATCGGTTGATCTTCCACTCAGTCGTCGATATACGTCGATATAAAAATGGGCTAATTCTGCTACTGCTATATATTTTTATCTTACCGCAAAAGCTCAACATTTTTTTGCACCATTTGTTCAGTTGAATGTGATGAAGACGATGATGCAGAGTGGCTGGAATGAGCACTAGGTGATTGCGATGGTGGGGGCAGCTGATGGTTATGATGGACATTGCTGCTGTTAGTGTTGCCGCTAATACCCATGATGCTGGTGTTGCCAGGATTACCAGCAGAACTGTGTCCTCCGCCACCGCTACTGGCACTGGTGCTTAAGTTAGTACTAGTTGATGGCAAAACAGCTGGGCTGCTACAGTTTCCCACACCACTGCTGCTAGTTCCACTTCCAACCAAATTATTATTGTTGCTATTCATGCCAGTACTAGTGGCAATTGCAGAAGCGGCTGCAGCATTAGATACCATAGAAGAACTTCCAGCGGCTTGTGCAGCTGCGGCAGCAATTGCGGCTACCTACAGAATGGATATATTAGCACAATATTTAATTATAAAAAAAAATATTAAAATACAGAAATTGGTAAATATTTGATTTTGCAAATGGACGTACCCTAAAATCATTGATTCCTTGCAGTTGTAAATTAGCGGCAGCCGCAGCCACCACCATTGGATCAAAATGTTTAGGGTCTAACTGTTGTAGCACTCGCTGTTTTTCCAAAGCACTCAAATTGTTGAATTTTTCCAAGCTTTGTTGAGCCAGTGCCCGGCTCTGTTGCTGCTGTAAAAGTGCTGCTGTCAATTGCTGTTGCTGTTGTTGCTGAGCCACAGCTGCTGCTTGAGCCTGTGCCTGTGCCTGAGCCTGTTGTTGCTGTTGTTGCTTGGCTGCAGCTGCAGCAGCGGCCGCAGCAGCAGCGGCAGCTGCTTGTTGTTGTTGCTGCTGATGGTGTGCAGCGGCGGCTGCAGCAGCACTAAGCTGCGACAACTGAGATTGTATACTGTTTTGCTGCTGCTTAGTGAGCATTTGTAACTGTGGTGGCACCACAGGTACCTTGGGAGTTGACGCATGTGAAGCTGGCGAACTTTTTGTTAAATCGACTTCTCCTCCACTGCTTACTGAACTGCCACTGTTAGAACCAACATTGCTACTACTCCCTCCGGAGCTTCCAGATCCTGATGACTGCACACCACTGTTTGCTGATCCGGTCACCATTGAATGAGGTGGTGGCGGTGGTGGAGGCAAGTGTGGTAAATGTTGTAGGAAGTCTGCCGGATTAACTCCGGGAAATTGCTGCTCCATAAAGGGTAATGGCGACAATCCTAGATGGTTTTTATAATAGCGACATGCTGGGCTAGGGCAAGACTGCACTACTTCAATAATAAATTCTTTTTCCATGCCAAAATTTTCTCGACCTATGGTGTATGATTCGATGACAGCGCGCACAGTGGCTTCAACACTTAAATGTAACCCATGTGGTCCAGACATGTGTTTAAGCATTACAGCATTAGCAAAATGTTCAAATGGTAGTACAATTTTGCCATTTTCACGTAGTATCAACCGTCCTTGTGCGTCTAATGTTAGGCGATTGGCAAGAACCCTGAGAGAACAAAAAAACAGTAACAAAACCTCCAAAACGAATGTTCTTTAATCTCTACTTACTGCAAATAGGCTGCGCTAGGCAGCATAGCGTTGTCTTTTAAATCCGTGAAACATTGTAATAATTCAGCACTGGGATTCCATCCTTTATTTTGCAAGTATAGCTGCAATAGCATGTACAGCTTTTCCGTAACATATCCAACACCAGGAATTGCAGAATTGCTGCCAGTCTGCAAATCGCCATGGGACACTGTTGTGCCCATTCCATGAGCACCACCACTGCCGCTGGCAACAGCCGAGCCACCACCAACCCCACTACCAAGCCCACCAACACTTACTCCTCCTGGGCCTTTCGAAAGGGCGGCTTTCATTGTCTCTGATAGATCTAACTTGTAGTTTTCCGGATAAAAATTTTTAACATGATCCTAAAAAATTTGGAGCTAATTAATACACACAGTTGTCGGAACTTGCATTACTACTAACCAGATTATTCATCTTTATAAATGGGAGAGCGTAGCTTCAGAGAACAATTTCAGTCACTTCTTCCTTTATTTTGTTAAACGAATGTTTAATACGTATAGTTTTTTTTTATTTATTCGTTCACCAATAAGAATTTTTTTACTGTTTTTTCTTACAAGAAAATGTATGCTCGGTGAAAAATTCTTCTTGGATTGGCTTTCTCCTTTTTCATGATCCTTTTTTCAGGACTTATCTTTTGATGGTATTCGTGACATTTTTGTTTGCTTTTTGCTTTGCTAATCAAATTTATCCGTTTCCTTTTCTTCCTCTTCCATTTCCCAGGTTTGCTTTTTTAGGCACAGTATATACAGTTTATTACTTTTTGAGTATCCTCAGGGGTTAATTCTGAGTAGGGTTGTTAATGAGAAGGAGCATGAATTTTGTTGATTCAGAGTTGTATACAAAATTACTGTGGTATGAAAGGGAGCAACAACCGTACTATGGCAGAGTAGAGCAAGTCATGGCTGTGTAATAGTGCCCGAAACTAATTGCAAAAGTGAAAAATATTGCAAATTATTGTCTATTATTATAGATATTAGTACAGATTATCATAGTTCAGTGTATAATTTGTTATATTACACCGTACATGATAATGAACTGTTAAATGCTGAGAACGCTTGTAACTTGTAGATCACTCAAACTTGGGTGTGACTAATGGCAAAGAACGTAGATAACGAGAAGGGACAACTCGTTATAATTGTGGCAAAAGTCCGCAACAGGGGCGTCCCTTCTCTTTTAATCCAATCAAAACACGCACTAGGGCAAAAGACGTTCTACGTCTACGTTCTTTGGTATCAGTTGCCAAGCAGAAAAAGTATCAAGTATTATTTTTTAAACTTTTATTTGAAAAACAAGCAATAAATAAAATTTTATAATTAAATTGATAGTCATAAAAAAAATTGTTACTTGCTTTAACAAAAACAGAATCCATATGCTTATTTGCATAATGAAAAACAAACTTATAGGGCCTCTATCATTGCGCAACCCGAGATTTGTAAGGTCAATATTGTGGAAATTACTACACAATAAAATTGCGCAAACCTAATTTGGAGCCGCTGCAGTGATGGCGACTATCGATGTTTCTTTTGTACACCTCTGCGCCAGTGATCGGACTTCACCACATTGGGATAGATTTAGAACTAAAGACCAACAACAGGCAGAGTGCGAGGATAAAATAAACTGTAAAATAGAAAATTTTCTCAATATTCAGTGTTTCGACAGGAAACGTGGTTTTATTGTTAAGTTGCAAAATACATGATTTATCAAAAGAATTAATTGCGAAAATGTTAAAAAGCGGATATAAACAAATTTCATCGCATCTTAAGTTTCTAAAGCGTTTACTTTTACTTGAGAATTGTCAAAATCGGTAAATCCCAAGTAGCGAAATGTTTGCAATTTAGGTGAACCCTTGCAGAATTTTTTAAATTTTTGTACAAATTTTGATCCAAAACCTGAGATCTACCATTTTTTCCGGATTCTACCACACAAATGTTAAGTGCGATCACTGCTCTTAGCATATAAAATTTCCAATCGATTTTAAACTAACTTCCCGACAAGTTAGAGATTTGAAATTTTCAGCATAGTTCCAATCACGATGACTATGCAATTTAAAATATAAATGAATTCCCCATATGGTCCAGGGGTCTTGATTCAAGTGGTCAAAAAATAGTAAGACAACGTATAAGCTAACAGAGCGTAATTTGCCAAAGAGCGTAAAACCACTATAAAATTGTTAAACGTGCCGGCGCGCCGCGGCGGTAGTGTAGCAAAGCTATTTGTGGCAAATTCTAGATATCAACCTAGTCTAGATATGAACCTCGTTGTAGGAAGTAGAAGACTCCAGATGTCGCCCCGCCAGAAGAAGTTAAATATTGCGCCTAAATATATGCCATTTACATATGCTACAGCGGAAATGGGCGACACGCCATTTCTTTAAATGAAATTAACTGCTGCTATATGTACACATGAATGTTTATACAAAACGTAAGCAAACATTTTGCTTGCATAGTCTTCTGTTCTCTTTCATGAAATAAAACAACACTTTTTAATATACAACGCTTTTATAAATGGACTAAAAATTAGAAAGTAAAATAATAAAAAAAAAAAATATTTTTTAAAAACAAGCTTTTATTTAACATGTACAATCAAAGGAATAAAATAAAGTAGCGTAACAAAAGATTTTTTAGCAAGAAAATTTTGTCAAAACTGCACTAAAATGAATAAAATAAAATAAGTTAAGGTCTCGTTAAAGTTACCAAAAGCCATTTAGTGAGAGGGGTTATTCAAACTCTAATGAAAATTACTAACAATTTGTACTAATTTACTTCGTTTTTAAAAAAGCTTGTCGGCGAATTCAGCGTACATGCATAATTGGTTAGGTATGTATATGTATGTATGCAGATATGTAAATGCCGGTTTGCTATTCGCGCGATTTGTTGTTTCGCCTAATGTTTTTGCGCGTTTAGTTAAATATTTACTTCTAAAAAACATCCCCACTTATAAAAAACGTTTTAATGTTTTCTTCTACATACGTATGTATATCAGTGTAAATCGAGGTCCTAACGCGGTTATGTGTCATAATATTGTAAGAAAATTCTCTTACTCAGTTCTGAAATTCCGTGGCTTCAGGCGACCAAGTCTTCTAACTTCGCAACTAGGCGCCGTAGTTCCTGCTCCTTTTAATTTTTGTATATGTATGTATCTATAAATGCAGGTGGTCGAAAAACAAAAATAAATACACACAATTCAAAACTATCTCAAAGCAAAATTTAATTTTTAATGAAAATTAGAAAATGCCAACTTGAAAAGGTTTAAAAGTTATTCATCATTTGACATTATAGTCGGTGTTCAAAAGAGAGAAATGTCAAAATCACTTCTACACAAAGAAAAAGCAAGGAATAAATATTTCAAACCATAAGGAAAATGGGCGCCATTTTAGAATTCCTGTTTAAAAACACACACAGTTTTGCTTCCTTTTATTTAGCTTTAAAATATGATTTAATACTTTGCGTTCATACTCATTACATACATAAATATTTGTACGCATATAAAAATTCATAGCTTCGCCGACATACTGTAACGCCTTTAAAAAAAAATATGCAAATAGTCAAATAGGCTGTTACTAGCACGATACGAATAGTAAAAAACTTATTTTTAGTTTTTATATACATAGTACATATTTTCATGGCCAATTGGGCCATATGTGTGCATACATATATCGCTACCTTAATATAGAAACCCCCCCTAACTGACTTTCATTCAGCATCCAGTTTTGTACGAAAGTCGATCGATTACTCACTCAGAAAAAAAAAACTGATATAGCAGAAATATTTAAGATAAATTGACCACTAAAGAACTTGAATTCCTATTAAAATTTTTAATCACTTACTAAACAAACAAAAATGTTAGTTGAGGCTTTTCTACATACATATATGTATGTATTAAAGTAGCGATACAAACATATAACATACTATAAAATTTATTGACGATCAAGAATATCAAAAACAAGCAGTTTTCGCAGGAAAGCGAGTTTTGATGTTTTTTACTCATAAAATAAACGTTTTACGATCCAGCATTTTATTCATTTCTGATATACATACTTTCTTGTTGCATTTTTTAAAACAATATTTTGTAGAAGAAAAATATTTGCTGCATATTATTGTAACACCTCATACACGTTTAAATATGTATGTATGTATGTATGTATGTACATACATATGCACAGATTTAGCTTCTTTATGTATGTACATACATATGCACAGATTTAGCTTCTTTATTATTTCTTTTGTATTTAATACATTTAAGGTTAAGAATGTATATTCATATACATACATAGATCACTTAAGTAAATACGTACATACATGCATATGTATTTTATAGTTACACTATCTAATCGCAGGAATATTTTGTTAACAATTGGCAAATTCCCTTAAGTAATTCAGCAGTACAAGTTAATCTTAGTATTCTATTAGTATCATCTATAATGTATGTATCTCAAAGTGGACAGACTCGTTCCTTAAAATATTTTGATTTTTAAAAGTGTATAAAAGCCAACTATTTTTCATATAAATGCATACATTTGTATGTGTATCCCATATTTTGTCACTCCTGATCTCCCGTGGCGGCAATAATGCATTTCTGCATATTATTAACTAAGATATTGTACATTCGCAGCACATTAATGTGTAATATAGACACTTTACCACCTTCTCATCCTCAACGTCCAGATCGTCTTTATTATTGTGCTTGCTGGATACACCATCTAGTTGGTCTAATTCTTTCGTTGTTGAGATTTTCTTCTTCTTCTTTTTCTTTTTATTCAACATTTCCTTGCCATTTCGCTCTAATAGTAACTCATCTATCCATTCCAGATCGTTACTGGGTATTTTCGTATTGTCGGATATACTTTCGATGGAATTAATATCATTCTGAAAAGAAAATTTAATTAAAAATACTGTGAATGAAAAAATACTAAAATTTATAAATAAGACACCAAAAGAAAGAATCTACAATGGGCACACACGGAGTGGAACACACGGTTGGTAGTCCCATGTTACTCAAGCCAAACGGCAACTTACGCAACACGTCGGTGCCTCCAAGCACCTAAGTAGCTTCACGTCTCCGCGGAGTTTAACTGAGCAACACAATCCCCCAATAGACGCTCCCACGACAGTCGGGTTTACGTAACCGGAACGACCCAGATTTATATCTGGCTAATGACTGTCACTCCAGCAATACTCACCCAAAAACTCTTTGGGTGGAATTTGTATGCTGTTACAACAACAACCTCCCAATAGAGGACATCTATGGATCCGACACACGAAAACTAGTTCCTAAGTACCTCTAGGAGGTACTTACCAAATTTGAGCTCATAATATTAACGGGAAGATTATGCTCATCATAGTTTTCCATTTTCAATTTAGTCTTATATAAAAATGGTCATATCTCATCACCAATAGATCGTTAAACCAGTCGCATTATCAATATTTATAGGAAATTGAACGCTCTATAAAAATGGTCTCCTATACTCTTTTCATTAATCGAACCATTTAAAAGATATTCAAGGTCAAAGATTGAAGTATTTTAAGGAAAATAACTTTTTGTTTTGAATTTTGTAACTTACTAAAAAATAATTATTGTCAAATGAGTTTCAATTATTTCTATGGGAAATTAAACGCTCTACAAACAAGGTCTCATGAAGTTAATCGATTACTCTAACCATTTAGAAGATATTCGCAGTAGAATCCCAATACCTGATTTTAATAGTTTTTCAGAAAATATTTTCAATTTATCCATTTAGTTTATGAGTTTTGAGACAATTTTTATTTTTGCGAGTGCTAACTGAAAAATGAAGATAGTGGGCCGAAATTTTCACATAAAAGTCATATAAATTGATTGTTTTCATTTTTCAGTAATCCGGTAAGGTTTGTCACAAAAATAAGTGGGACGAAATTGTAGCTCATACAATTATCTATAAAAACTGTTATAACCATTTTTCTTCCTAAGGTATAATTTTTGAGATATGCCGATTTAAAAAATTGTGTTCTCCATAATATGCACAATTTACCTGTACTCGTTTGTATTTGGTACGTTTTTTAAGGTGGTTTTCCTGGTAGGCCTACTCCACGACTCCTGTTTAGCTAAATAGTACCATTGGAGGTGATGAAAGCGGCGTAAATTAGAAGTAACTACAGAAAACTATTCATCGAAACCGGAAGTCGGTAATATCACCAAAAGATAGAGCTGCATCCCCGAATTAGTAGCTACATTTTTTGCGGTTTTCAATAAAAATCATTTCCCTCCATTTCAGAGGTGGTGGTTCTCGTTTGAAGTGTGTAAAAAACACCGTTAATCTTTGATTTTTTTTGCTGACGACTTCACGCATTTTCTTCCATACAAAGTTACTATGTTCGACAGTTTGTTTTGTATGGAAGAAAATAACAACACAAAAAAAAAGTATTATACTGCGAAAGAAAGTATAGATACGAGAGTTATGTAAACGTCTCATTTTTAACATTACCTGATGATTATTATTTTCATTTTTATGATTCTTTTTTTTAGTTGGAGAACAACTTGATTCCCTTCCATAGTGTTGTTTAGATGTGTGAGTGGGTGACGGTGTTGTCGTTGTTGAAGCTGTCGTACCAGACGATGCATTTAAGAGCTCACTGGTCGCACCCTCAGTTGGTGGAGTATTTAGTCCATTTTTGGGCGGTGTTGGCAAGTCATACACGTCGATGTCATTTGAGATGTCTTTACCGAGAATGGAAAAACGATTTTCCTACAAAGTAGAAAGTACATAAGTATGTATGTATATAGAACTATATATACTAGACTAGATTTGGCTTTATAGCTATACATGTAGCAATAAAAGTGGCTACTGAAGTAAATACGCTTTTTCAATTTTCAAACAGAAGAAAAAATCCTTTTTGTCATGCAAGTAAGCTGAGTACCCGTAAATGTTGGCCATTAATTGAACTGGGATTTGCCGTCTAAAGCACTATTCACTTAAAATTGGTACGCACTTAAATTATCCCTGCACTATATAGTATATACATGTGTCCACATACACATGTATGTACATATATGCGACCGGATAATATGAGGGTCTCTGAGGTGCTTAATTCCCGTGTAGCTTCTTTAAAAGGTTTTAGTGGCTCAACACAAATCGAAGATTATAAAGACTCAACGCATCTTTTACCTTTAAAATTATGTTTGTATCGGGGGCTTATATTCAAAACCTGCTATCATTGATTTTCACAAAGATACCATCTGATGTTAGAACGGGTGAATTCCAAAACGTCAAAATACAAAGCATCAGTCTCTTTTATTTCTAGACCTCAATAGATTTTAATGCCAAATGTGCGCAACCACGGTTAGATGCTAGCTTTCTACTTAGTTGCGCAAGTTAGGCTTTTTCTCCTAGTGTGGTTTAGAAATAAAAGAGACTGATGCTTTGTATTTTGACGTTTTGGAACGCACCCAACTTGTCTGAGACCTAGCTGTCATCCCTGATGACACATTTGAATAGTAAATTCTTTTAACAAGCGATATATAAGGTCACCACTAACATCATCGATGACAGTTAAGTCTCAGAGAAGCTCTTACATCAGAAAGCACTTTTTGTGAAATTCGCGGATACCAGGTTTTGAATATAAGTCCTCGATATACATACATATATTATATAGAGGCAATATTAATGTGTCGGACGACTTGCACAGCATTCGCAAAAGTTCCGCATTGATTATTGCGAGTGCGTAAGCGAATTTTAAAAATTAATGCGGAAGCTCCGCGTTTGCGAATATCCGCTAAATTTCTGGTACATATGTCGGCCGCTGTGGTGTAGTGGTAAGCAGTGCGCACTTATTTTCTTCCGAAATTCAGCTTTGTACAAAGTTTAATACTTGTCAAAACGGGCTCGCGTATCTGCATAAACAGCCTTTACAGGCTAACGTAATATTCACGCACGCCGCCAAATTACTGTCAAAAATTTCTCATACACATACAACTTATATGGGACCAACCGAAATTGAACGGCGTGCGTATGAAGCTAACTCAATTACCAATTTTCGTTCCGCGTGACATTTTGATTTGACGTTTCGCTCAATGAAATCAAATCGCAAGCCAATTTCAGGGGACGCAAAAAAATAAATTCCACGACGTGCGTACCAAAATTAGATAATATGACATTGACGGTAAATTCCAGCTACTTTAAACTTGCACTTTATTATACTAAAATTGAAATAGAAAGCTCGAAATTTTTACGAAAGTTTGTCGATTTTTTAATGTTGTTCAAAGATTTAAACTTATTTTCATAGAGTTTTTGTAAAGGAATTAACTATATTTTTATAAACAAATAATTAGAATTAGAAAATAATAAAATAAATAGTCAACTCTAGTCAATATATGAGTGTCGTGAAGTTATGATATTTAAGAACATAAAGAATTAACGATGACACTGTTTCTAACTATATGAAGCTGATTTCGACATTTTGTTTTAATAAGATTTAGTATCGAAAATATTCTTTCAAAACTTGCCTAGGACTGTGAGGTTGATAACACATCTTTTGCTATGTTATAATGGCTATTTCAAAACCTCTTTTCAAAACTTACAAAGGCAAAAACGAGAAGGCGAAGACAAAAAGATAAAAAAAAAATCCCGCAGTGAATTTTCAGAGCTACGTATATATTTATAGTATTCATCACAAAATTGTACTAAAAAGTACTGCGTAGTAAACGAAATTGTATCAAAAAAGTACAATTGTACCAAAAATGCCAACACTGATGTAGCACAAAGCAGAACACAAATAATATTAAACTCATTCAAAGTTTTATTTCCAGCCTCTCACTCGACTAAATGAGTAAAATCCAGCTGGGTAGACTACACTCGATAGAGACAAAAATTGCCGCCACAAATAAGAGTTAGTATATACTTTGAGTGTGTTCTTGTTTTGGTGGAAATTACTCTTAGGGCCGGTTACTCAATGTCTGGTTAACACTAATCTGCGGTTAAACA